AGCCAGGCAGGCAGAAGCACAGAACCCCCAGTGGGAGGAAGCAGGGGGAGACTGGCCACCCACAGCAGGTGGCATGGCAGAAAAGACACTTGTGGGAGGTCTGCAGAGGAGCCCCCAGATGTTGATGGCCTTGCTGGAGGGGAGCAGTTGCCAGGAATGAGAGATTCTGTGGGGGCAGTGATGGAGGGGTGAGTGGGTGAGGCAAGAGGTCTAACAAGGCGGCTAGCGCCGTGTGGGCGTGTGGGCTCAGGAGAAGCCTGAGCGCAGAGGAAAGGGGAGAAGCAGGAGTGGTGGTGGGGGGGGCAGGATCAAGGGAGGCCTTTTGTTAAGTTATGACTCTGAGGTATTTGTAAACTGGGGAAGGAGCTGTGGGAAGGCAGGGACTGCGTGTTCCTATGGGAGAAGGTGGGGGCAGGCCCAGTAGTTGAGAGAAGGGGATTAGGAGGAGGAGAGGGAAGGAGGTTAGGATGGGTCCTGCCAGGAGCTGGCTGGTGGACTGAACACAGCAAAGGGAGGGCCTTCCCACCGACGGCAGTGGCTTCTTTTTGAAACAGAACAGGTCGTCTCTGAGGTCGGAGTAAGGGGAAGCTGCTGCACTCGCGTCAGGGACTGGAGAGAATGGTAGGCTTCGAGAGAACCCTTGAGGGCGATGAGAAGAGAGCCAGGGGAGCAGGGGGGCAGTGGGGGAGGCAAGAGGGGAGACTGTGGCTTCCATAGGCGGAATTCTGCAGCCTCAGCACAGCCCCCTCATCATCCCTGGCAGGGCAAGAAGAATGGGCACAGCAGCGTGCCAGGGCCAGGGCCACAGGACCCCAGGGAGAGGCGATCAGCAGAGAGGTTCCTGGAGTCCAGCCAAGAAGGAGAGGGGAGAAGCGAAGTGGGCAGTCAGGAGTAGATCGGCATAGGGTAAGAGTGAGAAGGAGGCCACGGTCAGAGTTTGAGATCTAGAGTCCACCATTTTAGCACCGGGGCTGCTCCAGCTGCGAGCTCCAGATAGGACGCTAACAAAGACCTGTTTGGTGTCTCTGCAGAGCTCAGCCCCACCTGGGCCGGGAGCCCTCGAAGGCCAGGCCACAGGTACATGGCATCAGGGGCTCTGCTGACATCCCACCCCCACCATGTCCCAGAGAGCAGTTTGCAGCATTTATTAGCAGGAACCATCTCCCAGGGCCCCGACGTGGGCAGGTTGATAAGGAAGTAGTGCCTCTTGCTAGTAGGCGCTACCGAAGATTCTGGCTCATGGCTGGGGTTTATGCCTCACCAGGCCAGCCTAGGATGCTGGATCGGTGACTTCTTATTCCCCCTGACTTGCTCCCACTTAATCCTATCTTTTCTCCAATAAGAAGGTAGACAAAGGCAGAAACCACCCCCCCCCCAACACACACACACTCAGGCTATGCCCATTTCGGGGAGAGCCCTGGTTGCCACTGGGCTGGTCACCGTGAAGAAGCTCAGCTTCTGCCCTCCATGCCTTCTCCTGCTGGGGTATTTATAAAGGCCCAGAGGAGCCTCTGGAAATGACCCCCGAGGTCTAACTCCTCTCTAGAGACCAAAGCCCCTGGGTGTCAGGGCAGGTATTTTCTTCTGGAGAACAAGCATGTTAGCTTTGGATTCCTGTGCCAACAGACAAGGAGAGCCATTTCTCCATCACGTGCTTTCCAAGCCGGCACCCAAGCCTGCACCCAAGCCTGCAGTCTCAGCGCAGGGCTTCATGAGGTACAATGGAATCCTGGCCTCTCACAATCAAGGGATATGTGTCCCTTTTAGCAGATTTGGGGTACTTCCCAAATGACTTGGCATTTACTCCTAAGAGGCCAGCATTGGAAAAGGAGGAGATGGGGGCTCGTTGGCTCCTCTGTGGATGGGACAGCTGAAGCTAGAGCAGATACCCTTGCAGTCCTCCTTTGGACCTCCAGAAGCATCTTCCTAGGGCCTAGGGAGGGGGACCCTCCTACATTGGGGCCAAAGACCGTAACCCAGGAGCCTGCTTCTTCTGTTTGCTGCTCTGCTCCCCACGGATGACCAGTATCCCTAAAGGGCTGCGCCTGGGTGTTGCACTCTGAGTCCAGGGCAGACCACCTGAGTGATGGCTTAGAGGCTACCCCCTCCCCATCAAGAAAAACAGTGGGGAGCAGGGAGGCAGTCTCAAATCTCAACACACACACACACTCTCACACATCTCCCAATAGCTGCTGGAAGTCCTTCAGACCAGGCCCTGCCCCTGTGTTTGGTGGGTTTTCCTGCTGCCAGTCGGCCCTGGACTTGGACTCTAGGCTGACTGCCAGTGTCCCCCCACCCCCCAACACACACACAGCTGTTCATCTACCTTGTTCATAGGGAGCCAGTGGGAGAAGGGGAGAGCATGAGAACATTTCCTGGCCCCCAAGGCTCAGGAAGGAAGGAAAAGAAGGACTGTGGCTGCTGGAGCCTGGGGGGGGGGGGGCCATGACATGATGGCAGGGGTGGTCCTGCATCAGCAACGGGCCCTGCTCTGCACTTGCAGCCACAGCTCACTCTCCATCCTCAGATTGGCCCCTCTGTCAGCAGGGCCTGGAAACGGCTGGAGGTCTGCTTTAGCCTTCCTTTCTAAAAACCTTTCCTCTCTGATCTTTCATCACCTTGAATCACCTTCCCCACCCACTGGGATCTTCCCCCCTCCTTAAATCTGAGAGAGGGAGCCAAGCCCTTAGGGTTCCCACCACCCCACTGCCTCCCAGTGTCTACGAGGGGGAGCTGCGGGAAGTGCTCCTCTCATCCACAAGGACCGCATCCCGGGAATGGGAATTGACCCCTGATTCCTGTGGAAGCGGTCAGGAGCTGGCCCCCATTTCTTACCACACACTCATTCCCATGATGACAGCCATAGGGAGCTGCTTCTCTCTGTGGCAGAAGTCAGCCTGGTTTCTCCACCCAGGAATGGGTTTCATGTGTCTTCCTGGGAGAATCCTGTTGATAACTATCTTGCCGGAGTGCATCTTATGTGTCATTCCTACTTTTCTGAATTCCTTTTGATGATGATCTGTGGGGCAGAAGCAGGGGACATCAGCTTGTTCTTGCAGTAACTGACAGGACAGGTTTTTTAGAGGGCTTGCTTTCCTGCATCAGGATCATGTTGATATATTAAAACAAGAGCCTTTGGGTACTGCTTGCCTGCAGCCTGGCCATCCACCAGGGGTAGAGAAGAAGCCAAGCCTTCCTCTCCCTCCCCCACACCTGATATAACTTCCCTTTGGCACAAAATCAGGGACGCTTCTGTGAAAACGGGGGCTCCCCAAACTCCTAGACAAGCCAGGCTGTCCCCCCACCAATCTAGCCCTGAGCTCACCTCCAGGCTCCATCCCACACCAGTCATGGACCCCCCACTCTCGTTCCCCTGTTGCCCTACAGTGGGGCCAGCCCCACACTCTTGGCACCTCAAGATTCATTCTCTTAGCAGAGTTCTGCCCACAGAAATGGGAGGCCTCTCCTTCCTTACCTGGACAGACAAGATAGACGCCCCCCCCCGGAGATGAGCCCCGAAGATCACAAGCACATCTTGAACTCTGGAGCCTGCAGGGCCCACATGCACTGGGGTACACACACACACACACAAAACACCCTTTTGTAAACACTCAAGTGGCTGAGCTACGGAGGCCGCCAGGGGACCTAGGCCTCACTGCCTGCCCTAGACCTCTGGCACCTGGGCCAACCATGGTGGTGGTGAGTGACAACCGCTTCGCTTTTTACAGCCTTCAGCTGTTCTGAGGGCTATTTATATTCTCTTGAAAAAGTGGGGGAGGCTGATTGCTTAGCTAATGCTGAGCTCTGACTCCCTGGAGCAGGAGCTGTGTCCATGGGTCTCAGGGCCACCTTCTGAAAGCCCCAAAGTTTGGGATCCAGCATACTTAGCCCTTCTGCCCCCTGGGAGCTTCGCTGGCTCTCCTCCAGGCCACCCCAGCCCCCTGTGCCCAGCAGGCCAGCTTCCCCCACCCTGTCCCCGCCCCTCCATAGGCATCCAGTCCCATCCATTGCTAACCTTCCTGCCCTCCCCTCACGGTCATCCCCTTTGAGCCCCAGAGTGACTTGTCTTCCCACCTCCCACTTCCCACCAGCACCCCCTCAACCACACATGACACCACACACCACAGTGGGTCCCCATCGGGACAGGGCCCTTCCCTGACCTGCCAGTGACTGGCCACCAGACATGATAGCCAACCCCCTCTGAAGCCAGAGGGCTGACCCCAGTCCTGCTGCTGCCCCTTAGACAAACGTGCAGTACAACATCCCTGTGTCCTCCGCCTCCCTCCCGGCCATCAAGAGCCTAGGCCTCAGGGGCATCACCTGCATCAGCCTGACCAACCTGGATGGCTCGCCAGCTTCGCACCAGGTGCTGGAGTCTGTTGCCTACCACCTGGGCCTGAAACTGCAGAGCTTGTGCCTCAGTGGGGGCAGCCCCACGCAGGCCTCCTTTGTGGCCTTGATCCTGGGCTGCCCGGCCCTGCGTATCCTTGACCTCAGTGGCTGCAACAGCCTCTTCACAGGTGGCACGCTGCTAGCCCAGCCCGAGACGGCACAGCGGGTCCGGCAGGTGTTGCGTGGCCTCTGTGAGCTCAACTTGGCTGGCCTGCGGGACCTGACCGACCTCAGTTTCAACCGGCTCAGCAGCTGTGCCCCCAACCTGGAGCGCCTCTCCTTGGCCTACTGTCACCTCACTTTTGAACTAGGCCCAGCTCGGAGCTCCCTTGACCCCCAAGACTCCTCCCCCTCCCAACTCTCCTTCCACAACCTGCTGCGATTTGTGAAGGAAAGGGCTGATAGGCTGCACGCCCTGGACCTGAGTGGCACTGGCTTGCTCCCCGAGGCCCTGAAGGCCCTGGGTCAGGTGGCTGGGCTGCAGCTGCAGGAGCTGAGCCTGCACGGCTGCCAGGACCTCTCCACAGAGGCTGTGGCCGCCCTTTGCCGTCTGCAATCAGGCCTGACCTCCCTGGACCTCAGCGGCTGCTCAGAACTGGCCGACGGGGCACTCCTGGCCATCAGCCGGGACCTGGGGCACCTGCAGTGTCTCCGCCTGAGGAAGCTGCAGCGGCTGACGGACGCAGGATGCACAGCCCTGGGGGGCTTGCGGGAGCTGCACAGCCTGGACCTGGCAGAGTGCTGCCTGGTGAGCGGGCGGGGCCTGGCCCAGGCCCTGGGTTCGGGGCACAGAGCTCCAGCCCCCTTGGCCTCCTTCAGCCTGGCCTACTGCTCCTCACTCAAGGTGAGCACACCATCCCCTTCCTTCCTCTCCAGGGCTGGGGCTGGGGGCGCTGCACCCGTGGCGGCAGGGAGGCCCTGCCCAGTGTCGGTGTCCAAGGACCAGCAGGGAGAAGTGAACTGAGGACACAAGGGGAAAGGAGCCTGGAAATACAGTGCTCCTGCCGGCACTCCTCCCCTTGGCCCCTACTGTAGGCCCAGCTAGAGGGAGGCCCAAGAGACCAGACCGGCCCAGCCCACACCTCATATACCAAGTGCTCTGTGCCCCCCGGGGGGGCTGGGTAGGGGCACTAATGGCAGGTGTTCTGGAGGCAGGGAAGATGAGAGAGGGGGGTCTGCAGAGAATGGATACTGAGGCTACACAAGGAGGTTGCTCGACAGGGTCTGACAAAGGTAATGTGATGTGGGAGTCATGGTCATTTCTCGGCTGCAGCCAGTCCCTTCAATAGGGCTCAGCCCTGTCCCTCTGGGTGGCGTCCCTAACTTGGCAATGACAGTCTCTCCCGCTTTAGTGGGTTATTCCTTCAACCTCTCAATGTGCCCCGGGCATTCCCAACCTGAAAACCGTCTCTCAGTCTCCTCCACAGTCGCTTTCCTTGCCCTGCTTCCCACTCCATGTTCCCAATAGCACAATGTGTCTCTTAGCTGCTCTCCCCGGGGTCCGGGGCCCGGGGCCAATGTTCTTGTGTCTCTCATAAACCTCTTTATAAACCAGCTTCCTCTACTCTGCCCTTAGCTCTTGCTCCTGGCAGGTGGCAGCCCTACCCCAATGGTGACCTCCCAGTTCTGCTTCAAATTCTAGAGGAAGCATACCTGATTGGCTCAGCTAGGGTCAGATGTCCACTGATGATCCAATAGGCTATGGTCAGAAGGCTGCGTCCGCCCACACCTTCAGCAGGGTCTGGGAGCACTAGCAGGACAGATACTTTAGAAGCTTGCACCTGCATCCTTCCCGCCGCAGTCAATCTAGGCCTTAGTCCCCCAGCAAACTCCTCCTGGTGTCCCACCCCTACCTTTTACCAGCACGGGGACATTGTTGCTTCCCTCCGTGGACCATCTGGTGGCTCTCTCCTGTTACCTGTGGGGCTGGAACCTTGGCAGAACCTTCCTGGGGACCCCTGCACAAGCCACCTGCCCATTGCTCTCTCCCTTCTCCACTTCCCTCCTAGGATGCCTCAGTGTTCTCCCTGATCCCAGTGCTGGGCCTGAGCCTCAGGGTGCTAGACTTATCCTCCTGTGTGGCCCTCACCAACAGGACCCTGCAGGCCATCTGCGCCTACCTCACTCACCTCTCAGTCCTGCGTATGGCCTGGTGCAAGGAACTCCAAGACTGGGAGCTTCTGGGGCTGGGGGAACCAAGTGAGGAGCCGACGCATGAGCCCCAGGTGCAGGTCATGGAAGGGGGGAGGGTGGTCCCTGGGCTCAGCCGCCCTCCTGCCCCTCCTAAGTGTCTCTCTCTAGGAATATTTGAGGGCCAAACTCAGGAGGAACCTGAGAAGCAGGAGCTTCTTCCCACAGCTACATCAAGAGCTGGAGCATCAGGCCTCGGGCCCCAAGGACCCTTCTCCCCATCCACAGGGCCCTTCCCTGCTCATGCTGCGGGCCCTGCGGGAGTTGGAGCTCACAGCCTGCAGCAAACTAACTGATGCCAGTTTGGCCAAGGTGTGGGGCCGGGGGTGTGGATAGGCTGAGGAGCCTGGCCCTGGTGTCAGGCCCAAGCCAACCCGCTTTTTGCTTGGAAGACGTTCCATGCCCTTTGGCTTCTGCTACTTATGGCCATTCCTCCAGCTGGGGGTGGGAGCGCCTGGAAGGGCCCTGGGCTCCAGCACCCTACCCCCCCACCCCAACTCCCCAGCCCGGTCCTTGCAGGTGCTCCAGTTCCCCGAGCTGAGGCAGCTGTCACTGAGTCTGTTGCCAGCACTCACAGACCAGGGCTTGGTGGCCGTGGCCAGGGGCTGCCCCAGCCTGGAGCGCTTGGTGCTGAGTCACTGCAGTGTCCTCAGTGACGAGGGCTGGGCCCAGGCTGCAGCACCTCAACCTGGCCAGCTGCGGGCAGCTCACCGAGCAGTGAGTTGTCCGATGATGCCACGGTCCGGGGGCTGGGCTGGGTCCCCATGCCGGCTGGCGCTCATCGGAGGCCTCCCACAGAACTCTGGATACCATCGGACGGGCATGCAAGCAGCTCCGGATGTTAGATGTGGCCATGTGCCCTCGTATCAGCATGACTCCCGTCAGGCACTTCCAAGCCCAACTGCCCCAGGTGACCTGTGTCCAGTCCCGCTTCGTGGGAGGTGCTGACCTGACCGTAACACTCTAGGGCCAGGTCAGTAACCAACCCTGTGCCTCAGCGTCCGTTGCCCCCCCGCCCTCCAAGTCCCCAGCCCTGGCCTCTTGACCTGATTCGAGTCAGTGCCTTCTGCCCGCCTCTGCCACATACACCAAAGCCCCCTCCCCAAGCTATAAACCCCTTTTTCTCAGACGGCGGGTAGGGCTAATCCGGGGCAGCCAAGGGGGCTTCCTGCCCCAGTCTGCCCTAGAGCCCAGCAGGAGCCTTTTCCAGCCGTACGTTGCTGCCACAGGCCTCTGGAAATGCCGCCTCCTGCTCTCCTGGCCAGGCCTGGGTCCGGAGGCCAGGCCCACAGGTGGGGTGCATCTGGGGCCACGGAGGAGCAGACCACGTGCCTCTTGACCTGCCCACTTCTCCCACCTGAGGCCTGTGCCTCGCCTTATCCCCTATAAGGAGCTCTCCCGGCTCTTACTGGCACTGAGCTTCAGCAGCCAGGCCACAGACTTTGTTGTAAACCCAAACAAAATTAAAAATTCCAGATCTTACCTCCTTGTCTGAAGTTCTCAGACTAAAGGGCCCCCTCCTCCCCTCGACCTCAGTTGAAGCAGCCCAGCCTAGCCCAGGGACAATGTGGACAAAACACCAGAGGCACATAGACAATTTCTTCCTTACACCTGACCCAAAGCCCCACAGGTGCCCCCAGCAAGTCCTAACTTCCTCCCCAGTATGGTGGGAGACTAGAAGCCTGGAGGACTCTCCCTGCTTGAGCCTCCAAGCATGTCCTGCAGCAAAGACACGTGCCAGCCAGGCCCTAGGAGCACAATGATTAAGGATGCAATGAGGCTGTCTTCAAGGAGAAAAAAGAAAGAGGACAGTATCTCTGGGTAGGGTCATTAGAGGTCCCCTAGTCCAACCTCCTAAACAGTGCCAGTGACTTCTCAACAGCAGCTCTGAGAAACTATCTGTCCACTCTCTTTGTCCATCTGCCCATCAGTTCTAGGAGCAGCTAGCATGGCTGCCCGAGTGCCCCCCAGGCACTGCACTTTATGTGGGGTTCAGAGGTGCCGAAGATCTCCCAGCCCCCAGGTCAGGCAGGGAGGCAAATTAGCCGACAGACAGGGACAGTCCAGTGTGTGGGGTGTGCGTAAATAGAGAAACAAGCAGCTGGAACTGGGAGCCTAGGAGAGCAACGAACAGAGCCCAGAGAGATCAAGGAAAGACTCGAGGCAGTGAAAAAGGGGCAGAAGGGAAGAAAGAGGGCAATGAGAAAGGACCAGGGAGGTACACATGATAGGCCCGAGCTGGTGCTAGGAGGGTAGGGCAGGGCCCCTGGGCCGCAGGGAGGATGCTAGCTTGGATCAAGCACAGAGAACTCTGCAAGCCACGGGCCTTTTGTTAGACGTCCTAAACCACAACGTGTCTCCTACCCATCTAGCTCTACCGCTCAGGCAAGTAACCGTGACCCTCATCCCACGGACAAGAGAGACACTGAAAAATGCAGGATGGGGGTAGTGTGCATGTGAGTGTGTAATCTGATCAGCTTCATGTTTGAAAAAGCACTTGGGGTATTAAGGACTGGAGGGGCAAGACAGGAGGCAGGAAGTCAGGAGATTCTTGCCAAGATGTTGGTGGCCTGGACAAGGGAATGGAGACACTGGGGAGGAAGAACTGATGGTATTAGAAGAGTTAACTGCATCTGGGATCCCTGCTCCTGATTGCCATCTTGAACTCAATAGCAAGTTGAACTTGAACTATTCCAAGGTGAGAAGCCTCTGGATACAGGGCCCCCTGGAGGCCCGAGTCAGAAGCAGATGCTCCCCCAGCACATTCTCCAAAGGAGATGCCATTTCATCAGTTTTCAAGGTAACATGTTGATGGTTAACACTGTTTAAAAAGGTATGTGCGAAGGTGTTGAGAAAGAGTAGTAGTGAGAGGCATGGAGGAGGTCAGAGAGGTGGCAGCTTTCAGCCTGCCCTGTGGGGCCTGTGGGTTCGTGTGCTAGCCTCTGAAACTGACCTCCAGCTGGGCCCAGCACCCCTAGCCACTCCCGTCCCCAGAGGCCTTGCCTCTCTGTGGCCCCCACCACACCCATGCTCCAGCAGATTTGAATCAGAATGCCAGGCTTCCGGCACTGAATTCCCTCTTGTAAGCGTCAGCCCTATCCTCCCAGCACCTGGGGACATGTTTGGAATCTTAAGAGTTTGCCATTCAGCACAGAACAGACTCAGCTTCACATCTGTCCCTCCAGACCTCTCACCAGAGGGCCTCCAAGTCTTGAAAAGGACACCAGGCAGGGCCAAGCAGGACTGAGGACTGGGCCCAGCAGGACTGAGGACTGAGTTCAGACTGTCAGGAGCCTTCTGGAAACTAGGCCCCTGTTAATGCGGCCCAGGAAGGCATCCACTTAGGGCAGTATCTTCTGCCTCACGTCCCTCAATGGGCTGCTACCCAGACCAGAGAACATCCCTCTCTGCAGGCCCAGCACCGAGGAAGGCTGAGGACTCATCCTGTGGAAGGACAATAGGGTCAGCTTGTCTCCAGCCCCTCAACTGCGGCCGCCCAGGTTTGTGGCCCCAAGCAGTGACCTTGGCCTGATGCCCCATCTCATTTGCCAGCTAAATTTGAAGGCAGGCTTGGCCCACAGTTGCAGAACTGGCTCGACACACACCCCAGAGTCAAGCAGACTTTATTTCTGCAGCAGCCTCTGCTGGTCAGGGTGTCTGGGTTTTACCACCCTCCACCCTTCACGGTTACCAATGCCAGCAGCTGTGGCCCATGGCCAACCTCACTGTCAAGGCTCAGTGATGCTGCAGTCATAGCAGAAGTTGAAATTGGTGGGGGGCGGGGGAATGGGAGGCGGCTGCTCGGGAATGGGCACATTCTCCAGCTCCAACAACCGCAGCTTGGTCTCCATCGTCAGCAGCTGTTCCAGGTCCAGCCGAGTCTGCTCACTGCCCATGGGACCGCCGAGCAAGGCGCTCAGCCCATCTGTCCACAGGTGAAACTGGGGATGGGGCCAGCTCCGTGAGGGCCTGCCCATCTCTTCCTGAGCCTGTCTGCCCCACTTGGCTCAGCCTGGCCCAGACACTCACCTCCCGTTTGGATGGGGCAATGAAGTTGAGGTATGCGTCCGCCTCCCCGTGGTCATAGCTGATGGAGAAGGCTAACTCATAGAGATCCTGGGGGAGGCAGGCAGCGGAGAGTGCTGAGTGGGGAACAGAGCAGGGCAGGTGCGGGTGGGAAGGAGCCCCTGGCCTCCACTGCACTCACCTTGTTCTGCTTCCCTGAGCCCTTCTCCCGGACGTGGGGGCAGTCTTTGCCTGTGAGCAGTGCCTTGATATCGGCCACAGCGACTGCGGGAAGAAGGCCGGGCTGACCACTGGGACCCACGCGGGCCCCGCACAGGGGGTGGTCTCGGGAGGGCAGGTGGCTGACCCGGACCCCTGCCCCGTCCTCCTCACGCTGCTCAGGCAGGCTCTCCAGGGTGGGTGGGCTGGCGCCCTCCTCCACGTCCCCGTACTGCAGCACCTTGTGGTTGGGGGACAGGCAGCAGAACCACAGCTTGTCTGTGAGCAAAAAGGGAAGAGGGAAGGATGACGCGAGGGGCCCTGATCCCAACCCAGCCGCTCTCTGCCAACCCCTGCCCATTCAACCACCCTGGCGCCTCCGGCTGCTGATTTTGCGGAAGAGTGTCCCCTCGCAGAGGCGGAGCAAACGCTGCTGACGGATCAGGCCCATGAGCTCTGGCTTCAGCTTCTCCCGTAGCTCCCTGGGTTGGGGGGCGGAGGGGGCAAGGGGAAGGCTTGCTGACTGGGACTGACCTGGGGCAAGGCCCGTGGGGCACTGGGGCAGGTGGGGCCAGGACTGGGACCCACTCCCAGCAACTCACAGTATGGGAGGGGCCAGCGTGCCCTCCTGATGCAGCCGCTCTGTCTGCCTCAGCCGCAGCACCTCCCCATAGGGAAGTGCATTCACCTTGGTTCGGAAAAGCTCCAGGGAGCTGGGCTTCAGGGCCAGCGTACGGGCCAGCTGCTCCCGCACCACCTGCATGACCTGGAGCCACCCAGTTCTGCTCAGGGCTGCGCTCGGGGCCCCTACTCAGAACGGCCCCTGCCCTGGCCCGGGTCTCCTCCCTTCCACCCCAGCCACCTTGTCGAAGTCCTCCTGGGTGGCTCGCATCTCCTTCCAGGTCTTATTCAGCAGCTGGATGCTCACACAGAAGAGCTCATGGAAACTCTGGTCTTGGCCGAAAAACATGGGCGAAAAGTCCTGGGCTGTTTCGGAGCCTGGAGCAGGGGGGCAGGAGGGGCTCAGGGAGAAGGCGTGCGCAGCCCCTGGCCCTCTCTGCCCTTCGGCCCCCGCTCCCAGCCGCGCCACGCCCAGGCCCGCTCACAGGGCTCCCCGACGCGGAGCAGCTCGCACAGCAGCACGGTCAGCTGGATGCTGCTCCGGGCAAAGGGGCACTCATGCTTGTCCTCACGGCTGCTGTTCTCCAACACCAGCTGGGGCAGCAGAAAGAGTGAATGCGACGGGGCGCTCAGCTAAGGCCACGGGGACCCAGCCATATCCCACCCACCCGATTACTGACCCGGCTATAGGCACTAGGTGCGTGTCTGGAGAAGTAGAGCATGTTGTCCAGGGCCAGCAGGCCAGGGGGCACGCGCTCTAGATCCTGTGCAGGGTTGCTATTCTGGGGGAAGCGGGACGGGCAGCTCAGTAAGGGCCCCAGGCCTCTGGAACAACAGCAGCCCTGGGTTGAGGCAGGGGTGGGGGGCTAGGGAGGGGTCGCTCACAGAGAAGCCCAGTTTTCGGAACTCGCGGGCACACAAGGAACGGCGGCGGTCGGCACTCAGCCCAGTGCCCAGAGACTCCCCCTCCGACTCAAAGGCAGCCTGGCGCAGGGCCTGCAGCTGCTCCCGCTGTTCCTGGGGGCAGGGGGATGGGAGGTACCCCACGTTGTCGTGGGGTAAGCGGGCGTCAGGATCATAGACTCAAAGCCACGCTCTAGCTTCCCCAGCCTCGTATTCCCCAAAGGCACCCACCTGGCTGTAGGGGTCCAGTGGCGTCCTCATGCGTGGCTCCAGCAGCCCCAACATAAGGGCCTGCAGTACATACAAATGGTGAGCCATCTCGTCGCCCAATGGTGTTGCACTGTGGATGATGTTCTGGAGAACAGCCAGTCCATAGGTGTGAGCAGAGGCTTACTGGGGGAGGAAAAGCGGGGAGGGGTCTGCCTAGCCCAGTCCTTCCTACCTTATAGATGAACTGGCGAAGGTTTCTCTGCCACAGGTAGCCAAGCATGTGCTGAGGTAAGTGGGAAGGGGGCTTAGATGATTCAGCCCCACCACGAGCAGCCCTCCTGCAGTCCCGGGTTGGCGCGCAGTGCCCACCAGCTCCTGCGCAGGCTCCAGACCCCCACCCCCCACCCCTGCAGTCCAGCCACCAGATGGGACACTCACCTTGCGTTCAGCAGGGTCAGCCCCCTGGAGCAAGGCTGTCAGCAATGCCATAGCCTTGGTTTGTAGCTGCTGGTTCATCCTGGGGCAAGAAGAGGCAGGCTCAGCGGGCTATCCAGGGTCTGGCTCCATGCCCCTCACCTGTATTCCACCCCCACCCCCAGACACTTACACCTGTAGGTGGACCAGCAGCCTATCCAGTGGTACCTCACTCTTGACCAGCTGGCCCAGAGCAGGGCTGCTCAAGGTCACACTCTCTAGCAGCCTGAGGGCCAGGGGCTGCACAGATGCATCCATCAGGTTCATGTTCACGTAGCACACCACCTGTAACAGGGGTAGGGGCTTGCTACCACTTCACCACCATGGAAGGCCAGATCCTGACACCACTCCACTGCCCCCACCTGCTGCCCCTAGAAAAGCCAACCCACCTTCCTAACAAAGGGGATGCTGAGCGTCTCCCAGGACACCATGCCGTGTTCCATGAGCTCCAAGAAGGCCCTCAGTGCAAGGGTCAGCACCTCCCCTAAGCTGGGGGGACATCTGGGGCTGAGCAGGGCCAGACTAGGACCCCCAGCCCCACCATGTCCACCACAAACCGCAGTCCTGTGCTCACTCATCCCCATCCTCAATGATGGTGCCTAGTCTCTGAAGCCCATCACGGCTGATGACCTCCTGGGCAAAGGTGACGTCCGGGGCCAGCAAGACGAGGTGCTGCAGAGCTTCCCGGCGCCTTTCACGACTCCCACTCTGCAGCCCACCCAACAGCCGCTCAGCCTCAAGGTCCTGGGCAGGGGTGGGAAAGGTGAGGAGGCTGGGTGGAAGTAAGGAGCAGGAACTGGAGGTGTAGGGACTCAGATGTCCACTAGGTGGGGCACTGCGGAGCTGGGGCCGGGGCCCTCCCGAACTGGGCAGAGAAGAGGGTGGGCGGCAAAGAGGCATAGAAAAAGGGCAGGGAATGCGGGTGGGGTCAGGAAGGGCATTACTGGGGCAGTGCTGAGGCACAGGATGCTGCCATTCTTGATCTCTGTGCGGTTCTGGAGAAGATGGAGAGAAAGGGGGAGAAGTCAAGAAGGGCTCTGAGGAAAAAAAAAAAAGAAGGGCTCTGAGGATTGGTTAATCCGGGTTGCTGGTGAGGGAGGGTTCGGGAGTCCGGAAAAGAAAGATCACATTCCAGACAGGGGGATGAGTCTGAGGGATCAAAATCAGGTGGGTTAGAAGTGGCGGGTGTCGCACAGTGGGATATGGGCCTGGCGGGGGTGGGGGCGGGGGAGACTCACGTTCTCAGTGATGTAGCTCCTATGTCCATCAGCAAACTGCAGGGCGTAGCGTTCCGAGTGAACCAAGCTCCACCTGCGAGGAGCGGAGGCTCAGTGAGGCCGGTAGAGGGCGCCCCTCCCTCCTGCCCTCCCATCCCCCACCCCCCTCCCCGGCCCGGCTAGCCTGCACTCACGCGTCGCACACCTCCTTCAGCACAGCGGCCAGAGGCTTTGCCTGCAAGTGGACAGGTCACTCATGGGGCGGGTGTGGGGAGGAGTTGGGGAGGACCCTGGGGGTTCCGAGGGGAAGGGGGCCACCCGGAGGGGGGTGGTGGGGTGAATGGAGGCCAGACGGCGAGTGACCTGGTCCAGCTGGATGAGCTGCGGGATGGCGTCAGGCATCTGGACCGCGATCTTCACCACGTTCCGCGGGGGCGCCATGGTCCAGCCAGGGCAGGGGCGCCTGTAGTTTCCAGACCGTCTAAGCTCCGGCCAAGGGCGCGCCTGGTCTGGTGCCTCCGAGAACGAGGACGTCCCTCTGTTCAAGGCCTGGACCCCGTGGCCCGCACTCAGGGGTTAGGGTCCCGCTCCTGGCCAGGGGCCGCGGCCTTCCCAAGGGAGCCGAGACTAGTTCCGGGTTGGAGTCCCGTGGGTAGGCGCCTGCCCTGCCCCGCCCCACCCCGGCGGCCCGCCCTAGGTGCGCCAGGTGGGGGCGGGGGGGGGTGGGGCGGGCGGGACGCCAGAGCAGCCACACCTCCCTTTCCAAGAAAGGTAACCCGCCCGGTCCCACCACCAATCCAGCCGAATTCCAGGGAGGGGCCCTGAAAGAACCAGATCAGAGATAGCCTTAGGCATGGTCTTTATTCACTTGGATACTGTACAAATATTACAATTTCCTTTTGCTGCAAAAAGTATAAAAATAATCTTTATATAGGAATCCGTTCGTTACTGCAAATCTTTCTAAATCTCTGCAAATGGCTCTAAATGAGGGCAAATGAATAAACAAGGGGGGGGCTACAGGGCAGCAGGAGATTGGGCCAATCCTCAGGGGCTCACCCGTCCAGATTTCTAGCTAAAGACCTCTCTGTTCCTTCCTGTTAGCAGCCCCCCACCCCACCCCCTACCCCACCTATAGGTACTCTGGGCTAAGGGCCCAGCAGATGGGGGGTACAGGGGAGAGGCCCAGGGAGAGCTGCAGGGTCAGGGGTGGGGAGAAGTGAAGGAGACTAGGGGTGGTGCTGGCAAGTGTCTGGCTCCACCCTAGGCTTCCCTCCTCAGAGTGGGAGGCATTGGCTGCAACAGGGCAGTGGGGCTGGACAAGCTGCCCTATGCAGATGATGGCAGGTCTTCAGTTCTGTGTCACTAAGTGGCAGCCGAGCCTGGGCTCTAAGAGGGCATGAGGTGGGGGAAAGCCCCAGAAAAGGAGAGGCAAACACTCTGGCTCTATGGTGAAGGGGGCTGAGCCCCTTTCCCCTGCTTTCCTAGCACGGTACAGGTGCTCGTGCAGGAGTGGGAGTCGTGGTCAGAACTGCAGTGAGGGAAGGCTGGGGAAGCCAGGAGTCTGTGGCTCTCAAGCTGTGTAGGGGTAGAGTGGGGGAGGTCCTCAGGCAGCCCCCAGGTCACACAGTCTGTGTCCCAGCCACATAGGGAATGTCCCTGTCAGTCAGAGGTTGAGAACAGGCACATCGAAGAGGTCACAGACACCTTCACTCTCGTCCAGGTTGTAGATGTAATCGTGGTCTCCAGGGGGTGGAGAAAGGCGGAGGAGGGGGGCAAACACTGCAGAGAGCACCAGGCTGAGGCTCTGGGCCAAGGCCGCCCCCCCGGCAGTTGCCCAACCCCCTTGCCCACCCCCACCTCCCACCTTCCTGGGCTACCCACCTTCTGAGGACATCAGCTCCTCCAGCAGCTCTGAGCTCATGCATTCTGGGGAGGGAGGGAGAGCTCAGTTACATTTTGGCTCCTGGCTCTCCACCCACCAAAGCCCATGAAGGGGACCCCCTAGCCACCCATCAGGAACTTTACTCTTTGCCCAGGTACCAAGCACAATCATAGGTCCTCAGAAGTGCGAGAAAACAACCGTAAGACCCAATGAGCTATGCCCTTACCCCATGGAAGAATGCAGACCTACCTCGTGTGGGATCAAAGATTTCTGACAGCTCTCTGGGGAGTTCCAGAACTGAAAGACAAGAAAGCCATACTCAAGGGCACAGAGATCCAGTCTGGTCCCACTCTAGCCTCCACCTTCCTCAGATGTTATACCACCTGTCTTGGGGCTCCACACAGCTGAGGAGATGGAGGCCCTGCCCCAGGCCAAGCTGGCATTGTCAGTCTCCCCTGCTAGATGTGAGTTCCTTAGTGCTGACCCCAGGGTACGAAAGGCCCATCGAAGATGACTGATACAGCCCTTCTAACTCAGAAGTTAGAGGGCAGCAGACCCTTCCCTTGATGAGCTCAGTAGGTATGCCCTGTCTGATGGCAGATGCCCACTCACACCTGCCCTCGTTGAGCACCTGCTCAATGCCAGGCTCAAAGGCCATACCCTGGACCAGGGCACTTGGCAGAGGAGGAGGCAGACACTTAATAGGGGCTGGTGCTATGGGGTGACAAGTCTGCTACAAACGTCTGACTGGGAGGAGGCACATGGGAAGCAGAGGAAAATGAAACTGGAGAGGAGTGCTGGCGCACGAGGATCTCATATACCAGGTGAAGGGCCTGTGGTTTCATCCAGCAGGCCTTAAGAAGCGTTAAAGGTACTTTGCAAACACAGAAATGCCACACTCAACCTGTGTTGCAGACAGATCCCTATCAGTCAGGGTAAAGAGAAGGATGCTGAAGAATTTAGGGTAGAGGTAGCCAGCAGTGACCCTGAGTGTTGAGGATACATGAAGCCAGTGATGGGACATGTCTGAGACAAAACTCAGTTAATTAATGCCAGGTGGAGAGCAGAAGCGAGGAGATGGAAGTGGAGAGACATGCGGGTGTCAGGCCTGAGGGACCAGGGCCAATAGGAGGGTACACACAGAGATAGAAAAGCAAGCTTCGGTTAATGACACAGGAATGAAGTGCCCATCAGATGTGCAGAGGAAAGCACACGGACACAGGTGTGGAGTTCAGACAAAGACCTAGGCAAGCCAGAGGCTAGGGATTCATCTACCCAGAATGGGTGCCCTCCACAGGTGTGCAACAGAGACCTGCGAAGCACAATGTTTATAAAGGCATGCAAGGGAGAGGACAGAAAAAGCCGGTGAGAGAAGAGCCAAAGTTGGCATCATAAATGCCAAAGGAGCTAGAAAGCAACACCATGGAGCAAGAGAGCACCAGAGCGAATCACCCAGAAACCTGCTGGAGGCAGCAGTCAGGGCGAGGCAATGTCTCCAGAGCAGCAGCAGCGTCCCGGGGGGTGGGGGTACAAGGGTCCTGAATGCTGGAGGGGGACGAGGAGACCAAGACACGGAATGGAACAGAGATGACCTGCCCAAGGAGTCCAAACAGAAATGACACGTGAGAGAGGGAACACAGAGGACAAAGGGTCACTTAGTGAGAAGAGACTGAGCAGTGCTTATGGGCCAAGGAGAACAAGTCCTGGAAGACGCAAACACCCAAATCACAGGTTGGAAAGAAGACTCCAGGCAGATGATGTCACCTCCCCTGGGAAGGCACTGCCCCCACCTTTGGAGCCCGAGGGCCTTTACCACAGCCCCCTCGCCAGGATGGCAGTTATGCCTTCCTGATCCCTGAGTGCAAGGGGGGGCAGGCAAGGCTTGAGAGGGGCCCAGGAGTTGTGGGTAGCTCGGGAAGGGGAGCAAAGGGGCACCAGTGCTGAGCTGGCAGCTAGGCTCCTCACTCAGGCTGGCAGAGCTCTGGGGTCAAGGCAAGGGTTGCTGGGGGCCGGGGGGCGGGCTGGCCAGCTCTGGCCGAGGAGACAGGCGAGCTGGCTTCCAGCTCCAGGTGTTTCTGCCCTAGCAGTGGCTGTGGCTGGGTTCTGCCTGTCCCTCAGGGGCCACGCACTCACCTCCTGTAGGGTCTGCCTTGATGGGCTCAAAGGAGGTAGAAGGGTTGGGTCCGGATGGGCCGCTACTGCCGTCCAGCAGGGCGGAGGACTGCAGCGGCCGGGTGTCCAGGGCTGCCAGGCCTGGGGGCAGGGAGCCGAGCTCCCCACCGTCCTTGCTGTCCGGTCCAGGGCCACCGCTCACTGCAACCAGATCCCCCAAACCCAGTCACTTGGGAGCAGGAAGGAGGATACCGAAGCTTTGGGCTAGAACCCACAGTCGGGATGACAAGAGCCCCAGTTCCCAAGGAGAGAGAGGCACTGCCAGTCCCCCACGCAGAGGTAACCTAGAAATGAGCCCCTGAACAGAGGCATGAGGCCTGCAGGAGGGAGACTCAAGGATGACATGGCTGCTGTGCCAGGCTTCAAGAGGGGCTGCCAGAGGAAGAGAGACACAGGTGGACCCGGCGGAAACCATCCCCACTAATACCCCTTCATACATTCAGAGCTTCCCTGTTAAAAAGGGCTCATTCACGACCATAGCAAGGGGAGGCCAGCTGGAGACCAGGAAAAGGACAACCCCCACAAGGTCTCTTCCAACACTGCGTACAGAGGTGCTGCCTTTTGGGCCCCAGAAGTCACCCCATCACCAGCTGCCTGTTACACCTCACCTGTGATCTCAGCTGCTGGACCGGGCACCCCCTGGACTTCGGTGATGCCAGGGACAGGGGCGGGGCTGGTCAGCTGGGGACTGCTTGGGCGTGAGGCGTCCTGGGGCTGGGCCAGGGTAGGCTTGGGCAGAGGCGGAGGGGTAGAGACGGCAGGAGGGCTCTGGAGCAGATCTTCCGGTGGCGGCACAGGCACTGCCACAGGCGGGGAGCTCCACGCCTCCTTGTTCACCAGCAGCACCTCGATGGGGCCACTCACACTCTTCAGGTGAATCTGGTACTTCTTCTGTCCATTGAGGCCCTGGAGGTGGGGCATGGGAGACAGGTGGAATTAGAAGCAGCCTTGGCTCCTGCCTGACCCTGGGCCAGGGCTGCAGTGTCCTCTCCCACCCTAGGCTGCCCGTTCTTCTAGATAACCCCCAAACCCAGGCCTCCCCCTACCTGCCCCACCCGGGACTTATCGGGCTCCACAGCCAGCACCCGCCCTCAATCAACTCCGCCTGCCTGGGCTGAGCACCCACCTCTGGGATGGGCACCTCGAGGCTGGTGCCCGACGGGGCCCGGATGGCCAGAAGGGTATCTCCTAAAATGACAAGGATGGGTCAGGGCCCATGGGCTCAATCTAATCTGAGAATGGGGATGCCTATCCCTTTGAGCAAGGAAGGAAATCATGGTGTCTTAGGACAGTAAACCTCACCCAACCCCCCACTGGCTGGGGCAGAAAACTAAAGCTTTTCTCCTCCCAAGAGCCCAAGGGTCAGTAACCAGAAAATCTGGGTTCAAACATGTGGACTGAAGGATTGCTGGGCAATCTCACTTCTTGATTGATGGGGTTGCTCCCTAGGAGTAGATGTTCAGGCCAAGGCCAATTTTCCTTCCCCAAACCAGTCTAGAGAATGCAAAACGGAGAAGGAACAGTTCCTATATCTATAATGCAACTAACTACAGGTTGCAAGTGAGCATCATCGTTCTCTGGATACAAGCATGCAAGAGCGTACACACATGCTCTATCCCCCTTATGCCTCTGTCATGCCTGAGAAGCCAAACCCAGGAAACACTGCAGATGGGGACTGACCCAGGGACCCAGCCCAGAATTCTTGTACCCTTTCAGTATGATTTGCCTCCATGGGGTCCCAATGACCCTCAAACCCAGGACTTACCCTGCCTGGTTCCTCTTTGGACAAGCCCAAGGAACCCTCTTAAGAGACAAAACTCTCCTTGGGCACTGAGCCCACTGCTCAGGGCTGTGGCTCAGTCTAGCCCCACCCCCACTGCCCCCTACCCAGGCTCTGCTCACCAGCAAAGCATCTGCAGATGTCCTCATGAGTCACGTAGGCCAAGGTGTGGGGGTTAAGGAGAACGGCTGATGCCCTGCCTATGGTGACAGATGGCAGACCACAAAGAAAACCCAGCTCTTTAGCAGAGATCTGACATACAAGCTCTCAGAGAAAATCCTGGGGCCTGGGGTCTACATGGAGAAGGATCACAGGCCAAGAATGGTTGGGGAAGGGGCTTTGAGTCTGAGGAGGGAGGCCAAGGCAGGGACCTGGCCAGGAGCTGCAGGATCATCCTCCCGAGCAGGATAGTGTCTAGGGTACCACAGAGCAAACCCAGCTGGACTAGAGGGCCCCTCTCGCCCACTCCCCGGGAGCAGGGACCGCCAGGAGGATATCAGCTGTTCTGCACGTCCTCTGTGACATTCCGGATGCTCTGCTGCACCCACACCTTGTGCTTGTCCAGTTCTTGCTCCCGCTGCTGCAGCAACTCGATCTCAGCCTTGAGCTCAATCAGCTTGTCCGCAATCTCCCGGGTATTGCAGCCAGGCCCCACACCCCTGAGCCCAGGGAGGGAGGCTGAGAGGAGCTACCAGGAACTCTGGGTCCCATGGCCCCTGCTCTCTCCTGTGTCCTCCTCCCCACGCCCCTGACACTTCTGGGTAAGAGATGCCACTGCCCTCCCAGGTGCCCCCACTCACTTCCACTGGATGCTATTCTTGGATTTTTTCTCGATCAGCCCGATACCTTCCAGCACGTTGGTAATGTCGTAAATCCGCCGCTTCTGACGCACAGCAAGGGTGTCAGCTGCCTGGCAGACAGAACAGAGCACAGGATACTCAGCCCCACTCTCAGGTGTCCCCCCAGCTCCCTTGAAATCTGGTCTGGAAGTGATCTGAAAAAGGGGTGGCCTGAGTCCCAGCCCTCCTCCCAGGCGCCATAGATCAGGACCGCGGGGCAGGAAGAGGCCTGGCACAGTCTGAACTGATGTTCTGATGCCTTCCCACACCAGCCGAGGAGGGCCACGAGGACCAGCACCCGCAGCGCAGAGCCTAGCACATAGCTGACGCCCAATGGCCTCGGCCGAATGAATGAAACAGTTCCCGGCCTCCCTCCTGTGAGAAAGCACACCGATGGCGGCTTGCTCCCTGAGGGCTCAGCTGGACGGCCCCAGGGGTTCCCACTACCGGTCCAGGCCTGCCTGGTCCACCATCCTCCCGGTCGCCTCTTAGCCCAGGCCGCACCAGCTTGAGGTCAAGCACGCCGTCCTTGGCCTCCTGCAGAAGCGACACGAACTTGGTGGTGAGAAGTCCCAAGCTCTTCTCGTGCCGGCTTGGGGTGCCCGGGGGCGGCGGCGCCTGTGGCCCGGCCTCCGCCATCGCTCCCGCCCGCCGCCTCCCCTCAGCCAGGCCAGGCCAGGCCGGCGCCGCCGCCACTTCCGCTTCCGTTCCTGGCCACCCGGCCGCCGGCGCAGCGTCGCTGTTTCCGCTTCCGCTCCGCGCCCTCCCAGGGAACCCGGCGCAATTCCTCTCTGCGGACACGGCAGCAAAACTTCGGGGACCATCAGCAAATGTCCAACCGCCGAAGAGGACGAAAACAATCCGTGGATCCCGGGAGAGAGGGCAGGGTGCAGGGAGAGGTGGAGAAAGTCGGTGGGCAGCCCCGGCAGTAGAGAGGGGAGAGCCACCAGAACCTTCCTGGCTGGCCAACCTGTCCCCATTTCAGAAGAGGAGACCACGCTGCCTGATGAACCCAATGTGTTTCCCCAAACCTGCTCCTAGAAGCTGTCCCAGTGTCTTGGGTTTACTGACCCTATTCCTGTCCCTCACTTCCTGTCAAACAGCAAGCACTAACTACATCGAGCTTGCCCACTTGTCTCCATTCCCATTCCCCTTCCCTGATCCCAGCCTCATCTTTCTCTTGTCTCAACACTGCAGTGCTCAGAGACCAGGGAGTCCTAACAATTTTCCCACCAAGGCAAACATGCTTACCTAGGTGTACACATATGTAAAGGACTTAGAGCAGTTCCTGGAAGGTAGGAAGGATTATGTGTTGGCTAGTACCACGTTGTTATGTTTGATACCATCATTATTTATTACCATTTATTTTAGGTCAAGATCTCTGGGAGGCCGACTTTGAGACAGGGATCTGCCTGCAGGGAAGTTTAATGAGGATCCATCCTTGTAAGGGAGTAAGACATGCAAAATTGGGCAGAAGGGGGAATTAAACTGTGATGCAGTTATAATAGAGGCCTCAGACCATCCACTGAAACTGGGGTGGGCCTTCCAAGGTGGTCCATGTTCAGGCAAGTTTACCAGGCCTTTGTGCCCTAACTGTGAGGGAGAGACTCAGCTGTGACACCTCAGCAACCTACACTCCTGACAGCTAGGGGAACAAGTGGTGTTGTCCTGAAGGGTGGATTTGGGTGGTAACCAGCGTCCACTATATTATTACTACCCGGTGGTCCTCTCCATGGCCCCCTTACCTCTCAAGACAAACACAGCTTTCCTAGCCCTTCTACCCCTCTCTCACCATCACCCACCACACACCTTCCTCACAATACCTGTGGCCTCTCACTTCTCTGCAGAGGTTCATTACCCTCCTCTGAGGAGCCATCAACACAGTTTTCCTACTGTGATGTTGTCTACACCCATATTTGCACACCGTTCTCCATCCCAAGTTGGGGCCGTCTAGTTCACGCCTGTGTCCTGAGCACGAAGAGGTCCTGGATGGGCTGGGCAGGACTCAGGGATTACAGGGAGTACACCCCCTCCCCCCAAGGAAGCTGCGCCCAGCCCTCCCCACCCCATCCCACATTGCAGATGCACTTTCCTGTTGGGAATAAAAGGCCAGAGACTCAGCTTCCTTCCTTTCTGGGCATTTGGCCTTGGATGGAGGAGGGTGCTCCTGGGCCGGGAGGTGGTACAGAGGCTTCCTTGGGGAGAAGAATTCTGCTACATGCTGAGGTGTGGGCTGGAACCACCCAGGCCTCGTGAGCCAGTGAAGAGAATACCCAGCTCTGCCCAGAAGACTGGGGGAGAGGGCCATCCTCAAGGCCAAGACTATTTTCAAAGGAGAAAGAACTGGATGCTTGGTCAAGCCTGGTGAGTTCTGTACCAAACTGTCCTCTGCAATTCAGAGCAGGAGCTGGGGCCAGCAGAGGTCTGTGCCTACCCTGCCTCACTTAGTGTCTGCAGGGGCAAAACTGAGAAACCCAGTCTCCCCATCATTTCCTGAGGGGGCTGGACAAGAACCCCCCTCCTCCTTCTCAGAGGGGCCTAGCCTGAGGCTACTGCTCACAGGAGCACCCCCACTCCTACCTCATCTCCAGCTCCTCGAGGGACTGCCATGGACTCAGCAACCAAGGACGAAATGCAGCCCTCGCTTCCCCCTGGTATGAGCCCTCTGGGTGGGCTGAGGGAGGGATGGTGGAAAGAAAGATGGGAATGGTGGGGTTGGATCCTCCTTGCCAGGGCTGGCCGGAGCTCTATAGGGCAGCAAGAGGAATGGATCGGACTGCCCTAGGGGACAGGCTGAGAAGTAGGAAGGGGAGCAGGTTCGGGCCACTTCCTGTAGGCCCTGCCCAACTGACGAGGCTGCCCAGGCTCTTCCTGCCCAGGGCCTGAGTGGCCAGAGCAGGAGAGGGCGGAGCGGCTGGCCCGAGGAGCAGCACTCAAATGGGCCTCGGGGATCTTCTACCGGCCGGAGCAGCTGGCCAGACTGGGCCAGTACCGCAGCCGTGAGGTTCAGCGTACCTGTTCGCTGGAAGCGCGCATCAAGGTGGGCATCAGTCAGGGGAAAGGAGTGCTGGGGACAGGCTGTAGGACTGGCCAGGCCTCACTGGCTGCCTCCCTCCCACAGTCGGTGGTGCAGTCCTACCTGGAGGGCGTGAAGACGGGTGTGTGGCAGCTGGCCCAGGCTTCTGAGGCTGTGCAGGGCGCCCGTGAGGCCCTGGGCCAGGCCCACGGCTTGCTTCAGGGTGCGGCAGAGGCCACGCAGACCCTCAGGCCGCTGCGGGAGCAGGTGGTGCAGCACAAGCAGCTGCAGGTCCTGTCTCAGCTGCTGCCCCGGCTCTGGGCAGGTGAGTGTGCGGGGGCCCTGGGCCTCAGCCCCCCAACCGTTAGTCAATAAACACCCATCACTGACCGAGGGGCTGGGGCACTCGTGGGAGATTGCATGGAGGGACACACCAGGGACCTTCCAGAGAGTAATTCAGGCTTCGAATGGCGTATGAAGCAGGATACAAATTGGCTCATTCTGGGATTCTCAAGTATGGGTTGTGTGGATCAGGACTGAGCCTCAGCCAAGTGGCTCTGACCGCCCTGGTTGCTAACTTATTGAAGTCTTAAATAGCCACTAGCATGGCCCCGCGAATTCCACACTGCCTTGCCTCCAGGATCCCTGGCTTCCTCTTGTTCCATCAGCTCAAAAATTTACACCTGGCCCGCCGGGTCTCTAGGCCCTTCCCCGGGTCCTTTCAGATTAGTCAGTGCTCTGCTGTACTCGTTACTGAACACTTGACACCTCACTGCAGCCCTAGGGCCTCAGCACCCACCGCTGCACCCGTTGTATGGGGGGAGGTTTGAGACTCAGGGCTGTTTCCTCTCCTCCCTGTTTAGTGCCAGCCGCAGTGGCCCACGCGCGGAGCCTGATTGATGCCAGGCAGCTCTTGGAGGCATATGTGTGCCTTCGGGAGCTGGAGCAGCTGCAAGAGGAGACGTGGGCACCTCTGGGGGGCCTGGAGTTGGCAGTCTTCGAGGGGCTGGGCCCCCTGGCTGAGGCTCTGGGCCAGGCGGTGGAGGCGGCTGCAGGGGCCGCAGGGCGGCTGGCGCGGGAGGACCCAGCCCAGCTGGTGGCTGCCGTGCGTGTGGCGGAGGTGGATGCTGGGTACACAGCCTCCCTGGAGCTGGCCCCCAGGGGCTGGCGGCAGCGCTGTCTGCAGGCATTACAGGAGGGCCTGGACAGGACCCACTTTGGGACGCCTCTCCTGCCTGAGCCGGGGGCCCTGGCAGGGTGGCTGGAGGCCCTGCGGGTGGCTTTACCGGCCGAGCTGGCCATAGCTGAAGCACTAGTCGCACCCTGCTGCCCACCGCACTACAAGGTGGTCCAGCTGTGGGCCCACACCCTGCACAGTGGACTGCGCCGCTGCCTGCAGCAGCTCCTGGGAGGGCCTGAGCTAGGAGCTGCTGATGCCTTCACCCTGCTGCACTGGGCACTGCATGTGTACCTGGGGTCAGTACCCTCAGGGCATCGGGGAGTGGGTGGATCAGAGGCTGGGGGCTCAGAGTGACACTGGGCTACCCATCTGCAGGCCAGAAATGATGGGGAGCCTAGAGTTGGGGCCTGAGGCTGACGTGTCTCAGCTGGAGCCCCTCCTGACCCCGGAGAACATTGAACAGCTGGAGGCAACATTTGTGGCCCAAATCCAGGTGAGTAGTTGGGGCCCAGGTACAGAGAAGCTCTGCCACCAGCTGTGGGCCTGTATCTGCAGAGTCGCATGTCTACCTGTCTCTAGCAATATCAGTGCTCTGCTACATCCTGCCCCCCTTTGCCCCTTCCTCCAGGCAAATGTGGCCCAGTGGCTGCAGAAGGCACTGGATGGGGAGGTAGCTGAGTGGAACCGAGAGCAGGAACCTGGCACAGACTCTTCTGGCTTCTACCACTCACCTATGCCGGCCATAGTGCTGCAGGTGAGTGGAAAACCCCCAGAGGGAAAGGGGAGGAGAAAAGGACTAGGACTCTGCTGATGGCCACCCGTTGCTGCCTGCAGATCCTGGAAGAGAACATTCGTGTGAGCAGCCTGGTCAGCGAGTCACTGCAGCAGCGGGTGCAGGGCATGGCGCTCTCGGAACTGGGCACGTTCCTGAGGAGGTCTGCCAAGGCACTGACCCACGTCCAGCCCCTAGCCCTGCTCCTGGGACAGACCAAGGGGGCTCTGAGTGAATAAGGCACACCAGGGGGAAAGGGCTTCTTCAAAACAGGGTCTGGGGTTTCTTGGAGGTGGGGCTGGAGTACCAGGGACTCAAGTTGTGGGGGCGCCAGAGTGACAGGTACAGGAACTACCTCTGCCCTTTGCAGCTTTAGTGATGCTCTGATCCGATTCTCCCGAGACCACGCCAGGGGGGAAGCAATGCCTCCTCATTATGTGCCCTACCTACTGGCCACCCTCAACCACCAGTCAGCACTCAGGTACCAGAAGCCTCCCCCACAGAACCCCTGACTGAACCCCAATTAGGTATGGACCCAGTCCACACTAGGTCATCAGAAATTTTAGACTCACATGGCTCTGAGAGTCCAATCCTAGTTCTACTAATTGCTAACTGTGTGACCTTGGATGAGTTACCTAATCTTTCTGAATCTCGTTTTTCTTATCAGTATTATGTGTAGGTAATAATGGTACATTCTGAGAATCATAACAGGTGTGAAGTACCTATCAGTG